CAATAGCTAAGGGGATCAGAGCAGCAGGACGCTGATCTCGACAGCAGCCGTTTTGGACCAGACGGCTCTCGAGAGCCAATGGGGGAAGAGATGAGGAACCGCTGAGCAGCACCACGATGTGTCCGGCCGAGCAACACCTGAGTCACGTGCGGGTATACACTGAGAGAAGACTCACGCGCGCCGCTGTGTTGTATGCCCCGGCTATGGGTTCAAATTTACCGGCTTACTTGCCTAACTAGAGTGTTGCATTGGTATTCTGCACTTGAATAACTAAAAGAAAAATAATGTATACACTCAAAACGTAGTTCCTTTCGAAGGAAGTACAAGGAAATTCCACCAATTCAAAATCAATTCTCTCAAATCTGAGGAAATTTTCAAAGAAAGCTGTTTCTTTGATTTATTGTCAAAATCAACCAGTCACCACTCTCTTTGATATGATATGGAATCATTTTCCAATTGAATTGCCTTGAATATAACATGACCCTATTTTCTGAGTTTAAAAGAAGAAGGTCTTTATTGGACAACGTTAATAACGTTACCCACATTCGTCATCACTGGCCCATCATCGCTCGTAGAAGGGAACATAACGGACACGGTAGTGAGCGTCGTCAGCCTACCTGCATTGAGAAACCATTTTTCTGGATTTGCCAAAAGCAATGAAGCTCTGGAGTATTTATTACCCCAGAAGATCTACCACCAAACATAATTTAATTAAAATTGTACCTCGGTGTTGCCTAAAACTCCGTCAGACGCAGAGCAGTGAAACCCATCGCAGCCTCGCCCTGCTCGGCCAGCGAGCGCGGCCGCCCAGCCGCCCCAGAGACAAATCGCCCGTCAGCGCCACGTCGCGCCTCGCCCGGCCCAGCGCGGCCTGCCCACGGACCACGATTCCATGAGATTTTGTGTCTCGCTGTAAGCCATATCCCGATAGGGCATCAGGGCTATCCCGACCAGTTAGAGAGAAGGGAGGGGGGGACAGTGATAAAGAGGAAGTGAAAGGGATGAAGCGTGTCGCACTTAATATTGAGGCGCGAAACTGTGTCCGTCTCACTCCCACGCTTCGTTGGCCCTCTCTCTCACACACGCACACACATTCACACACATACGTACACAGAGAGATAGAGAGAAGTACGGAAGGAGAGAGACGCCCAGGGTGGCGCCCCCGCTGCGCTTAGGCGCCGGCACGCTTGCGTCCTGATATGCAAAGTAGATAAGCTCTTCAACCGTTTTAAGCCGCTTCTGTTCGAATGCCTCAGCCCTCGGCTGGCAGAGACCGCACACTGGAAACGCAAGTGTCAGTGAATAGTGTTGCACACTTGTAGTTGTATAGATGGCCATTCTAACACTCACTGTGAGAATTTTCCTTTGGAATTAACAGTCTTCGTGCCTTCTTGTGTACGAATGCCGTTTACACACCTACACACCTACAAGTGTGCGACATTCACACACTATGCTTTCCAGAGTAAAATGTACAAACCAGGGGCGAGGTGAGAAACGAAATTGAACCACTTCCGCCGGCGCGCACTTCCTGTCGTGCGAATAGTGGGGTCCTTATCCACCCCTCGCATCGGATGCCTTTCATCGTCCAGGGGCGCCCCTGCGCCCAGGGGAGTGGGCCTTTCACCACCTGTGCGAATTTAGACGTGAACAATGTAGTCAATTTAGGACCCTCACGACGCGTGGGGGGCCCGCCGGGCTGGGCTGAGTCGAGCCGGTGAGAGCCACATGATGGTGGCTAAACGATTAAACAGTCCTTTATATCGGTATCGCATTCGGCATTTACCAGGTTGTATAAAATGAGAGGCTGTAAAATTACACGAATGTAAGCAAACAAACCGTCCACCATTCTATACAGTTTCTGAATCCGTTCCTCAACGGTATTACTCTTCCGAAATCAACCACTCGGGCAACACCCCAAAAAGCCTCTAGAATTTGCGAACCGTCTCTTTGGTACGTGGTACGTTATAATCACTTTAAACGCGCGGAAGCATGGAACTAATGTGACAACAAACAGGCACATTTTGGCGAGTCTGCTTTCGCTCCTGTCGAGCGGCGGCGGCAGGGCGTGGCAGAGTGCGGCAGGGCTGTGCGCGAAATTGCTCATTCTTCCTGGGGCGTCCCTTCCCCCGGAACAATATCCGATACCTCGATCAACATCTGATGATACATCAGTTACGTGTACTTTCATAGGCCACGTCCCGCCACGCCCCGCCGGCTTCCCTTCGAGATATCGAAAGTGCGACCCCGCTGATCGGTGGATCACGCTTCCGTCGATATCTCGATGCGTGACGTCACGCGTCATGCTAGCGGAAGTTGCAAAGGAGCTACCGCGATACAATGTGTACACACGGGAGCGAAGAGGGGGTGCAACGGGATACACTGCACACTAACTGCATTCGCATTTTTTTTATTTTTTTTTTTAAATAACGTTTTCGATTATTTCTCAGGAGTCCCATGTATCTGAAAAGCGATTGCAATAAATTCACGTTTTATTCTACTCAGAACTCTAGAACTTAATAGGGGTATACTTGAATGCTGTATTTCCTGAACACCTCTTTGAATGCGGGAGATAAGGAGGTACTTCACACGTACACACGTGGGGATTGCAAGTAAATCTAGAAAAATTTACTAAACTAATTATATTTTTTCTGCCTCAAAACAGAACGCGAACAAAGAATTTGGCGCACCACTGTATTTTGATAAAATCACCATTACTGCTGAAAATAGAAAGACTTGGCGCTTGCGCTGGGTGGTGCCGTTGGCCGAAGCCCTGCAAGGGGCACTCACTGCGCCGCCGCAGCCCCCGCAGGCCGCGCGAGCCCAGACCGCTGACAGTACCGCGACCTGCCCCACTGCCAAACACAGGGCCGCGCTCTAAGGAGCGGGCGGGGACCTAAACAACATGTGGACACATTTTGTGTTTTGTTGTTTTCGCCGGAGACAAAAGGAAAACCAGTTGTTAGTATTTTCGCCACAAGCCACCATAATCCTGCAATCAACGTGTTTAGCACCGTTCCTTATAGGACGAGTCGACCGGGAACCTGATAGAGGGGTGCCCTATAAGGCTAAACGCACTGCCAGGCTAAAAGCCCCGGAAGGTGATCTATGCGTCAGGAGGGGACCATCGGTCAGTGCATACATACTTTTAGTCACCAGCCAGTAAGGGCAAAAATCCGTCTGCGCTCCTCGGGCAAGGAATTTATCATCAACATTCTTTGGCTTTACAAAAAACTCGGTGTAATGCTAACATTCTTTTGAAAATATGAACAAAAATATTAGTTTGAATAGTTCGTCACGTTTGCTCGAACATAACAGTATGAAAGCGGCGAAAAAATGTCATGACGATTTAAACTACACAAGCCAATCAAAACGAAAATTCTTCTTCAATATTCCTCATAGAATAGCTTCAAAAGAGCTACCATAGGATGCGTCTTAGAGTGCTTTATTTCTAGGTTTCACAAACATACTAATTTTCCAAATCGTCACCCAGTTTCAGTGTATGTTTTCAGACAGCCCTGAAATAAATCATTCTGGGACATATCACATGGTAGCTCCAGTAGCTAGTTTAAGATTTCTTTTCACGAGGAAAGTCAAAAAGGTATTTACATTTCAAAATTGTCATTGTTCTACGAGTTGGTGGGAGAAAACTCCAAGCGCATGCATGGCATGTATTCTGTAAATACATTGGGCATTGCATGATCCGGCATGATCACGGTATAGTTGCATGCCAAAAAGGTGCAAGACGCGTTGCATGCTGTTGAATTTGGAGAACACGAGTGTTAGTTATAGACTCTCGCTAGTTCTACACGCAATTTTACAGTGATCGGAGAATAATCTTTCACTGTACAAAAAAGTACGGCATTAACAAACAACAGAAAAAACAAAATAGTTAAAACTGTTTCATTGTAAACCGTAGGATAGATTGAGTGCAGATTTTCAGAAATGTAATATTTCTCAATAACAGCCCTAAACTGTTGAGCTGTTGTTAATGCTATATAGGCTACTTTTGCCAGTGCTGATCTGCTGATAGATACTATTTACAGCTGATGTATACTTTTTGTTTGTGATTTTAGTTTTCCGCCCCCAAGGACAAAAATAAATTAGCTATTTCAGCACATCTTTAGCTAGGACACCTAACGTGTTTGCTGCCAGCCTGACCTGACAAGCAAGGTGTTAGACTAGTACAAAATATGTATTTGTTAAATATGCTTAATTCTTACTTGTGAGAAACGAGACAGTTTGTTTTCGGTAGCTAACTGTCCCTAAGCTCGTGTGACTAAATTTTCCTTATCTGTGTTGGCTCAGGCATGTTTTGTCCAGCAGCCAACACCCACAACAAAATATGTATGGGGTGGGCCAACTAAAGGTTAGATCTACCAACTAATCCTCGACAGCTACCGCAGCTTGAGTTTGCTTATGGCAGCTTACGTCTAGTTTAGTCAAGCGAATTCTACTAGCTATTAGGGCTGAAGCCCAAACATCAAGGTTGTTTATTCGCACTTGACTGCTTGCCTTTCATCCCAGTCTCAACGCGCGCGGTGGCGCAGTGCCTCCGAGTTGGCGCGCAGCGTCAAAGGGCGAGGGTTCAACAACACCCACTCGGGTCGGTTCTAATTCCTTGTCGTGGGCATGAAAAGTGAGGTAGAACGCACTCTTAACAACGTAAATGGAACAACTGTGCAAAAATTCAACTTTAATCATTTTTTTCGCATTTTTTAATTTTTTTTTATCCAGCATTAGTTCTTACAGCTGACGTGATTATTGATTATGTTATAATAAACAACGCATAATGGCTCTCACAGCTAACGCATTGCTTGTAACGCTGACAGCTAACACATTAGCCATCACACACAGCACACAGTTTGGCCAGGTTTTCCTGCCCCCTGGTCCAAGTTCTCAATTGGCAATAAAGTTAAACAATATATACAAAATTTCCCTGCTCCAATAACCTTAGATCTAATTTTTTCGAGGGAATGTGTGTATTTTAAAACATAAGTTACCTTTGATCGTAGCGGCAGGCTCGCGTAATCCACTGAACGGTCATGCTGGTCATCCGACATAATCCAAGAGGGTAGATGTATCACTGTCTATGGCACTGCGACTGTCTCTCCCCGTCTCTCTCCCACTCTCTCTGCAGGGGTGCCTATAGGGTGACGGGCAGGGGAGTGAGGGGAGACGGTAGGGTGTAACGTATCTAGCCTGTCAAGTCTAATGATTTCAGTGTCTGTTCCCAGTTCACACAATGCAAGGGGGGTCACCGAAATGAATATCAATGAACGAGTGAACCTGTCGTGAGAATGCAGGGGCATGTCTGGCAGCGGGTCCCAGCGGCGCGAGGAGGGGGAGGGGGAGGGGGGGGGGCTAACTGACTCGTCGGGTATGCGGCGGGGGGCGGCGTGGGGTCACCCCCGCGATAAGAAAACATTAACTGCTCAGGGCCACACCGAAACTTTTTACTTAGGCCGGCAATGCACGCACACAGGCACGCACGCACGCACGCACGCACGCACACGGGCACGCACGCACGCACGCACAGGGCAATAAGCACGCGAGGGACGAAGCGGCACACGTGCGGCAGACAGGATCATCCCCCGGGCTGACGGGGACGGGCGTCAAACGTTCCTGACGTATCGGAATAATGGGTATGAATTGTGTGATGGAGAGTATATCGACTAGCCTAGGCGCAGGTCGGGAGCTGGGCTCACAGCCGCACCCCCGGTCCGACAGCCGGCAGACAGCGGGACCCCGTTATCGCACTAATCCGTGTCGTCCGGCCTGGGCATCGTCAGTCCTGTATCGTCCTTTGGGCATCCAGAGGAGACGCGGCCGTCCTGCCCGAACGACCCTCGCGATGACGCGTTCGATTCCAGCCCCAATCCTGCTCCACCCGGCACCCCTGCTGCCCCCTGTCAGTCCGTCGCAGTCACTGTCACCACACTCACATACACGCACGCACACGCTCACACTCGCGGGCCGTCATGCCGTGCGGCGGGCGGCAGCCTCCTCGCGCGAGGACTGCCAGCTGCGCACTGACTGAACCGCGCCGGGCCGGGCGGCCAGGCCGGGCCCTCCGCCCGAGCCGAGCCGAGCCCAGCCCAGCCCAGCCGAGCGCCCCCGGCCGCCGCCGCCGCGACGCGCCGCGACGCCCAACGCGTCCCTTCCGCTCTTTTTGCCCCTGGAGATTGACGCCTCCATAGACGTCGCCGTCACAGGGGAGAATAACTCGAGAATCGTAAGTACGACTGTAAGTGCGACTGTGGTGAGGCTGGCTGGCATCCTTAACGAGCACTTCGGTCGTCCACTAGGAAGTTACCGAGGTGTACTACTGCAATTCACTAGAGCAACAAAGATGAGTCGTCGCACTTTTCATTAACCCTCGCACTTTTATTCACTGCGATTGACTACCTTCAGAAAATTATACCGCCGTCGAAACATCTACACACTTCTGTCCTACCAGTAATAGTTCCATGGCACTAGCGTCGCTCGTCGTAGGGCAGTGCAACTACGAACGTGGAGGAGTTGGATGGTGGATGAGCCACCTGGTAGACGCGCCGTCTAGTGGAGTGCCCGTGACTGCCTCCGTACAGCGAGCATCGCTGTGATTCAAACCGACACGCACACGCGTAATGACATTGAAAAGTGTCGTGTTTGGACGCGCAGCCGGGGCCCTGCAGTCCACCAGCCCACGTGACAAACGGTGCAGCCGCGGCTGCAGCCACCACGACGCTCCCTTTCACTGAGCCTCGGCCTGGGCACTGACAAATGCTACTCCGAAATGGCGGCCATGCCATCCATATCCTCCCTACCTCTCTTACTCTGTCAATTCAAATGTGTACACTTCAAACAAAGTGTGCATGGCAGGTGTACTAAAGTTATAATGTGAACAAATGGGTGTATACATTTTTTAAAAACGCACATGGTCATGTACACATGTACACATTCATAAATTAAATACGTGCATGGGCATGTACTCATCTGAATTAACAGGACAAAACTCGAGTGGAGCTCAAAAGTACAAAGCAAATGACTAAAAACTGGTATTAGTGACGCGTATCCCCCCAAAAGTCCTCGACACGACACCAAGACGGCGAGATAAAGGGGGAGGACGGGGGAGAGTGGGGGAGGACATGGGAGAGTGGGAGGCGGAGGGGCAATGAATGGGGGGCGGCTAGCGCACGACCTACCGCAACCCCCTCCGCCTCCTCACACCGGCCCGCCGAGGCTCGCCCCGCCCCGCCACACCACGCCCTGCCACGCCCCGTTGAGCCGCCAGCATTAATCACATCAGCATCAGCATTTGATGTGATGAAGGAAAGTTAAATGCGCACGCGAAGTAAGTCAATGGAAGCTGGAAGCTTTTCACGCTAAAACATTCATAAGCTCGCAATTTCTTGACGAAGTCTATTATTAAACTGACTACCCACGAGAATAAATTGCGAGCGGCGCAACTGGGATTTGATTTTTCTTTGCAGCAAATCGTTCGAGCAATTGAGAAACGAGTCTCGCCCGATCTCGTCGCGAACATTAACTTGCGTGTAGAACAAACTACTTTTCGCTCGACTTTTCCTTACAGTTTCTCACCTTTTCTCGCCGAGAAGGTGCCCCGCTCCGCTTTCCAACCTCAACGCGCGCTGTTGTCCCCTAGTGCAAATCAATGTTCACAGCAGAGGGGGGAGAGGGGGAAAGGGGAGGAGGGTAGAGGGGGAGAGGGAGAGGAGGTGCACGCCACCGCAGCCGCAACCCAGCGGTCCTGTTTTATTGAGTGACCGGGTCCCCGCGCTGATTGCACGCAGTGCACTACTGCCTCCAAAAGCTGTGTGTGTCTGTCTGTGTCTGTGTGTGCGTGTGCGTGTTTTGAACGTTTGTGTGAGTCCGCCCCTGCGCCCTACGCCCCCTTCCGACAGCGCCGGCTAGGGTTTCACAGTGCCGCGTGTCCTCGCGCACGAGTGTGTGTGTGTGTGTTACAAACATGGAGCAAAGAAAAAGTGTCCCGCACGCGCTATTTTCAGCGCGGCGTCTCGTCTTGTTGCGCCCCTCCCTCCCCTTCATCAGCTCTCCTCACACCCCGCCGTATTCAACACATTTAGAATCCTTCTGCTCCCCTAGGAGAAAACATTTTTCCATCGAGAAGCAAATATATTGGGCCACGACGGTGAGGTGAGGGCATATGTTACAACAAAAATCAAATAAATACACAAGACGGTGACAAGTGCACGGACGTGCAGCTGTGAACAGACTCGCCACGTCATTGAACGCGCATGAGACGGTTCTTAGAGCACGGGCACACGAGAGAGAGGAGGGGGCGGGGCAGATGCCTATCGCGAGGTTCGTTATGGATATCGATAGGTAATGAAGAAGAAAGTGAGGATTCAATGCGATCCGGGCGTAGGAAGGACTGCGGTGGGCGGAATACGGGGATCGGCACAGGCTGGGCGTGGATACTAGAAGCTATCGGACAAAGGGGCGGGGCGAGTAGCCAGGATAAAGCAGGGGACGACGAGAAGCACGGTAAAAACAAGGTCTGAATATTTGAGGGAAAAGAGGAAACTTTGAGGAACTCCCATAATTTAAATGAAACTCCTGAGGTTTTAAGGACATATCAAAAAGTTGTGGACATTCTGAATTTTTTTACAGGAGGCTTCCTTAAAACGTAGATGCTAAAATTCCCTATTTTATCTCCAAAAAAAATCAGACATTATTTTTACCGTGGGAAAAATACTAATAATTTTACTTTACATACATTTTTAAAAATTAAAAGTTAAAGGGAAACGGCAAATGAATAAATAACGTTTGTCTTGTCGTTTTTTTGTGTTTGTCTCGGGGGGGGGGGGGTTACCAGTCACTAGAATTGCACGAGAGTCTCTATCAAGCTTGCAGTGGCACAGGCATAAGCCTACGTCAGACACCAAATCGATTGTAGAAGCCGGCTATCGAGGGGGCCAACACTTCGATTTAGGATGTACACAGGATTGTGATTGCAGGGATTCCACGTGAATTTTAAGGGATTTCACATGAGTTTTGTTAAATTTCTGGCTATATAACCATTACATTTGGATGATAAGGTGAAATTTAGTGATATTTTCGGATATTTTCTTAAAATTTGGTAAATTCTTACACAGAACACATAAGGATTCCATAGGGATTACGCAGGGATTACACTTCCATCTGTACACAGGATTACGCGAGAGGTGGCCTCCTCGTCGGCTGTATTGCGTTCCTCAAAGCAGAAGGGCGGGCTGAAGAAGAGAGGCGACGCTGGCCACTCGCCTCACTGGCTTGCTGACTGACTGACTTGCTGACTGACTGACTTGCTGACTGACTGACTTGCTGACTGACTGACTTGCTGACTTACTGACTTGCTGACTGACTGGAGGAGAATGCTGTCCCGAGCAGGTGGTGCCGTACTGGTTACGCGCGTGGAAGTGGGGTGAACCGCCGGCGTAACAGGGAAAAAATGGCGGAGAATAAATATATAAGAAAATAGGAAACGAGTGGAGTCGGCAACTACTGTGGGGATAAGCGGGGATAAGGCGGAAGAGACGGGCGAGCGGCAAGACCGTACGGGGAGGTGAGAGGGAGGGAGGGAGGGAGACTTATTTTATAGTGGAGCTGAATGAGAAGGTGAGCAAAAGCGCACGCGCGCTCGTGCACACAACGGCGGCAGCGTTGCGCGACATTCTCGTCAAATTGACACGACGTCCTTCGAAACGTCACACAAATAGATTGACAGGGTGCCAACACATCGTGAGCGCTCACCTGCTGGAGGGGGGAGCGACCATGTGGGGTCGTGTGTGTTTTCATTCACGTGACGTCCACTTGAAAAAGGGTTTGCAACTGCAGTTGACATAGCATAATACTTACTGAAGCGTGTTTTTCGGGCGCGCGCGGAAATAAGTTATAAAGTAAGAAACAATCGGGTTATCAAACCTGGAACTTTTATCGGAACTCTTTATCAAAACGGACAACCTTTACCTTCGAGAGATAGGCATAAGGGACTGTCTCAAAAGTATCTTTAACAACGGGCTTCTGTCCATATCTACGCCAACTTTTCATCACAAGTCCATTGAAGAATGCGTGTGGGACTGGGCTAAAACCTTACGGTGTTTCAGTTTCGGATCATTTGAAGCTGGCCGCTTTGGCCTGCCGCCCAGCAGGTCCGGAGGAGGCGGCCCCCGGCGCTGGCTCTGGCGCTGCCCGGCCCAAGGGCTGAGCGACCCATCAATCGAGCCACTTAAACGCTGACTTCCTCCGCCTCTCGCCGAGCGCCGCTGCTGCACCGTGTGGTCCAGTCGGGCCCGACCCGCCCCGCCGCACGGGAGCGCGCCCCCCTGGCGGG